TTCAGACTGAAGTTTCGTGTTGGTGTTTTAGCTGCTAGAGTTCAGACAGAAGTTTCGTGTTGGTGTTTTAGCAGCTAAAGAGTTCAGATTTAAGTTTCATGTTGGTGTTTTAGCTGCTGAAGTGTTCAGACAATTTTCGTTGTAACTTATTAACTTTCACTCACGACTTCACAAGAAAAGAACCAAATTAATCATTGGCTGTTTCAGGAAAACAAAAACTTCCAATCCGTCTGCTTTTTAACCTTTTACTAGTTTTCCTGATTATCAACTTCAGCTATGAGAGGTGGGCAGTCGTGTCTGTTAGCAAAACATCCCATGAACCAGTGGATGGATTTTAATGAAGCTCATCATTGAGCGTTCATCTACAACCGATTACCAATTCAAGATGGTCGGCATCGTTATTTAACCTTTGCAAACCTAACAACGGCTCCAACAGTCAATATTAGAGATTCTGATTGGAGGTTTGGAGTGGTAGTAGCTGAGAGTCATCTTCAACACTTATTTAAAATGTGGCTCTTAAGCTTCACTTCCATTCCTCGACAAGACGATGTTGGTTTCGAATTGTGGAGACAGTCCTTCAAGGTGCGTTAGGCCTCGATTTTAAGCAGTTTATTGGCATCAGATGGATCGTAATAATTCAGTTTTAAGGTTTTTAAGTGGGACAGTGAGACCCCCCCCCCCCCCTCACAGGAGTGGGAGGCCTTTCATCAGCAGAGATGTAAACAGGCTCTGACAACAAACAAAGTGAATACATTTTTTCACTTGGCGCCTCCTGCCAAGAGCAGGGATTACAAAAGCCCGGATGCAAGCGCCGAACATTTCTTTCAGCCTCCGTACAAAGTGACAAACTGCCGACACGACGAGGATAAGGTTCCTCGTGTTTGTGTGGAAAGAGAAAGCCAGGCAGGGTCTAGGTGACGGGTTTTTAGTATGCAGAAGGTCGCGTGAGGAGGTGGGTGGGAGGAAGAGGAGGATGACACCACCAGGCTCAGAAATCAACATCAACCAGGTTCAAATACAAACTACAGGCGTGGAACATGTTTGTAACATTAGTGAGTAGCTGTGGACTGAAAGGACATGCGTGCTTTCATAAAAACATGTATTCTTTCCCTTCGCACCATTTTACTGCCCTTCCTTCAGGAATGTGATTCTAGTTTATAAAATCCAATTCTACAGAATCTTCTAATCTTTTGATATTAACTGTAGATGATGACAAATCAGTTTTCCCAATTTTACGTTGAGCATTATTCTGAAACGAGTTCATTCATAGACGGTTTGTTTGTTCAAAGCAGCGAACCCCTGCCCGTCTTTAAACACGGCCCTCTTACTGACCTGCTGCCAATCAGCCTAGTTAGCTGCTAAATTCTTATTTATTCATATTCCAGAACTGCGCCGCTTAAGGTGGCTGCATGTTGGAGCAGCTCTGTTACTGTCATTATGGGATGTTGCTTAGGGAAACTTTAATTCCTCTTTTTTTCTGGATGCAGTTTGCTTTATTTGGATGATTGTTTCCTCTGGTATCAGATGCTGTGCAGCTTAAGGATTTTTACTGAAACCTTTTTGCGTTTGGACATTTGTTATGATGTGTAACCATGACAACAAGGTGTTTTTTTACAAATGGGAGCAGCTGATTAACGTTTCAAAAGCTCAAATAATACCTCAGCCACAAATCACAAATGAGTTAAAAAAGAAGGTGCCGTGGATGCATTCCCGTCTACCTGGCAGAGATGCTTGAGTACCTGATTGCTGAGTTCCTGGAGCTGGTGGAAAATGTAGCTTGTGACTACAAGAAGACCAAGACACCTGCAGCTGGCTGTCTATGACGAGAAGATCAACAAGCTGCTGGGGAGAGAAACCATCGCTCAGGGAGGAGTTCTGCCCAAGCTTCAGGTGGTCCCGTTGCCCAAGAAGACTGAAAAATCCACCAAGTCCAAGTAGAGAGTTCAACATCTGCAGCCAGTTTCTTCAGATCTGCTCTGACGGACCACTACAAGAGATCCTTCCTACCCACAGCCTTCATCATCTACAACGCTAATGAAACCAGGATGATGATCTACAACAACTTTGAATTTCCCTCTGGGATTAATAAAGTATTTTTGAATTGAAATGCTCCTCCAGATGTTTAAAATTACTTTTACAGCCTTTTGTTGCTGCTGTAACTGCTTTTTAGGATGTGCTACTGACATTTAATTCAAAACAACCCTTTTTAAAATTAAATGTACGTTTTCTACGTCGCCTACCGAGTTGCACGCCAAAGTAAAACCAAGAAGTGATCTGCAACAGGTCCGATGAAAGTTGGAAATCCTTCCACAGAACTCCCCTTAGAAATGTGTGAACTGTTCCTTTAGGCATAAACCATCAAAGGTCGAACTTCCCAGATCAAACCCAGTGGAGGCCTCGGCGGTTTGAGTTCTCTAAACTTTATTCAACCAGGAAGTGTCTTCAGGTGGTGTTTCTAAGGGCAGCCTGGTGAAGATGGCAGCTGCCTGCACGTCCCTGAGGTCCATTGTGTCCGAGTTCTAGCATATCCAGAACTTCTGGCCCACGTTCATCCAGCAGCACCGTCACCAGTGGGTGGAGTAGTCGGGCGTATGTTTCACCTGCAGCACGTTAAGAGTCGATGACGACAGAAGGACACGAGTCCATTCAACTCCCAGAAACTTCACCGTTTGTTAGTTTCTCTGTGTGTGTACGTTCTGGTGGTTCTGGACCCCCGTCTGAGCCCCCCTGTCTGAAAACGGAAACACCCGCGGGGCCGTGTGTTCACCGCAGAGGGGGGGGAGGGAGCTTGACATCGGATCCGCCCGGCTCAGGGGGACAAACATCTCAGGCTCGTGTGGAATCTGGACCCTCAACAACAGATTTTCAGCGCACATTCGAGAAAAATACCACAGCCCCCCCCCCCCCCCCCCTTTTACATAATGCAGCTTATTATGGGATTGCTGGACCCTGCACAGGTCATCATGGCTCTGCAGAATGCTCCAGAACTCATTATGGGATGTGCAGTTTGCATCAGAAACCTGGAGAATGATGTTGCTTAGATTTCAACTTGAGGCCCGAGGGCCAGAAATGGCCCCTGGACCATCTCAATCGGGCCCTGACGTCTTTCAAAACAAAAGTTGAACAAAAATGCAAACCCAGATTTAAGTAAATATCTGTTGTTTTATTTACCACTGAATCATTGGCCTGGACTTTAAAAGTTTTAGTTTTTTTGGGTCATATGACTAAATAAAAGGCAAAATTTAGATTATTTTAACTCAAAGCCTGACGTACGTTGGTCTACAGGGACTGCGAATAATGTTCTCGGAGAAAAGCTCTGGAGTTAACTCCTGACCGCTTCAGTAAACATTCAGTAAGATGGCTGGACTTCAGTCGGTTTTAGATATTAACCTTAAAGTCAGTATGGTAGTAGCTGAGAGTCATCTCTATCACACTAGACCCTTAAATCTGCTGGTTTGTCTGTTAGATAAATATCTCATGAACCACTGAGTGGATTTGATTGAAATGTTCAGGGTATATTCACCGGATGCACGTCTAAATGTAATTTACTTCTGGGGTCAACCCGATTCAAGATGGCCGCCACAACCAGCTGACTTTAGCAAATCACAAAAACATGAAAAATGTAGTCATTCACAACGCGTGTGTTGTGTGGGATTGTCCTTATCATACGATTAACTTCGTCTTAAAGGAACACCAAACCATTAGTATTGGTGGTTTAGAAGTTGCCATGGCAACCGTTAAAAACTGGTTTGTACCAGATCAGAATCACGGAGATGGATTCTGGTAGAACCCTAAAAAGTTAGACTATAGTGGACTTGATGCTCTTAAATATTCTCCCTAATGGTATTTTATCTGGGGGGTGTGCCTGTGGGTGATTATAGGTTGGGACCAAGGAGGAGGAAATAACTTTGAACTCTGCTTCTGGTCTCCAATTTGGACGATCCAGAAATGTTGACTTTAAGGCAGACGGTGAAAATTACAGGCTTTCTCCCTCGACACATTAGCAGCCGGTTTTTGAAGGCGTTCCAACGAGGCTCGTTGATGGGAGGAAGGAAGGAAGAGCTCGTGCTCAGTGGAAGACTTCAGAAACAAGTTTAGTTCAACAGCAGACAGGAATTTTTACATCGACGCAGGATTTCCACTTTCATTCTTCAAGACCCAAACGGACTCTGTGACCTTCCTGCGCCTCCTTCCTGCGCCTCCTTCCTGCGCCTCCTTCCCGACTTTAAGAGTTTAACTGAGGGTTGTCAAGCGTTCAGCGCACAGTGCAGCCGAAGCCTTGACGCGGAAACGAGATTTGTGGAGCAATCAATAAACTGATAAGTGCAACGTGAGGTACATGAGGTGGAACGAAGTTGTGTACTCGCAGTCCCAGTTACACACAAAATTGGCACCAGTTTAAAAAGAACCAGTAAATAAGGATCTGAGATATACACTAAACACTAATAATGTAAAACAATACGGCGTAACAGCAGCAGCCCGAACATGAGTCTGTGTGAATAGATGGGAATGAATTAATATAGCAGCATGAGATAATCAGCAGCATGAGATAATCAGCAGCATGAGAAAACCATCAGCGTGAGATAATCAGCAGCATGAGATAATCAGCAGCATGAGAAAACCAGCAGCATGAGATAATCAGCAGCATGAGAAAACCATCAGCGTGACATAAATCAGCAGCATGAGAAAACCATCAGCATGAGATAATCAGCAGCATGAGAAAACCATCAGCATGAGATAATCAGCAGCGTGAGATAATCAGCAGCGTGAGATAATCAGCAGCGTGAGATAACCAGCAG